CTGGCACGCAACAGTATAACGCACGCAACGAACGTACGAACGCACGCAACAGTATATTGAGTACTATGCAAGGTCTATTGAGTAGAAAGTTAAAATTTTTATGGCTCAAATGCGGTTTAGCCCACTGCTTGGTCACATTTTTTGAATGGATAAGAAACGCGCCAACTTAGGTAATTCCATATTTTGATTCACTTTTTAAATTGTTGCCGCCAAATATTAGGACCCTGTACTGTATCAAAAGAAATTAAATAATGAAGAATCTGCATAAATGTATGTATTTTTCTTGCATTGTCATAAAACAACGGTACCTAGAGCCATCAAATTTTGAATAACGTAATCCTCCACCAGATATGGGCATCTGAAAGCATGAATTTGGAATATGTTTTATAATCTATTTCATATTTTGTAAATGATATATTTTCATATTTTGTAAATTATATATTTATGAGTTTTGATTAACAAACTCAACAGTGGCGTAGCAAGGGGGGACATCTGTGTCCGGGCGCAGCATCCAGGGGCGCCAATTTGATGGTACGAAATTTTAGAATAAAGTGTTTTCCATTTGTGGGAAACAGAGAGGGGCGCAAAATCTCCAGTTGTCCGCGGGCGCTGAAAACCCTAGCTACGCCTCTGAAACTCAACGATTTCAAAGCGAGCAATGGTAACACTCTCCAGTGCGTGAGACTGTGTATCGAGAATTCTAAAGATACGCTCATTTAAAAATTATTTTGCGATATTGCTATTGAACTAAATTTTACGATTTAAGTGCGAAGAACATGATATTGTTATGGTTTTTGTATTTAGTTTGCTATTTTTAGTAGAAATGTAATTAAATTGTTTCATTTCCCTGTGCAATGCTGCGCGCGACGAAGTTTAAGAGAAAAAGCTACGGCGAAAAAGTAAATATACAGGAGTATGCGCATTTTAACATTTAATAAATAGATATCTCGTCTTTTGCTATCCAGAAAACTCGAGAAAATAAAAATTACCAGAATGTTCTCGTGCATGATTAAAAGCATTAAAAAGCCGGAGAAAAACATCTCAATTCAATTGTTACTTAGTGTTGTTATTGATTGTAGCGGTGAGATCGGATTAGCTTTCTCTGTGTTTTGAATTGAGTTCTGTTTAACGTTTTAGTAGTTTAAAATGTAACTACAGTGAGATATTGCGATATTGTACGAATATCTTTAAGGAAATTTCAGCATTTTGTTATATTTCTTGCGATAAGAATAAATTTTATTAACTTTTTATCGACTTGTGCATTCAATCTATTACGAACCCGTACGCACGCAACTATATTTAACAAATAAGGTAACAAAAAATTAAAAAAAAAAAATTAAAAAACGCCCCTTTGGGAGTAATGTAAAATCTGAAGACTTTCAGATTTTATTTTTTTAATCTCATTATATACATATTTTTTAATTTCTTGTTGACAGTATTACCTATGGTAGCTTTAGATATCGAAAAACTATGGTTTTTCACAGCGTTTTTTAATAATTAGATACGAATAAATTTCTACTAAAAGATCATAACCATTCCTTCTTCAAAAGCAACATTTTGCATGAAAACAAAATTGTCAAGTAGCAGACGATAATTTATAGTTTCAAAAATATACTTGTAGTTAAAAAAAAAAAAAAAATTCGAAGCAGACAATTCGTTTTGGAATTTTTTACTTGTTAATTTGAACAGTTAATTTAGTTGCTGTTTGAATGTTCTTATGTGCTAGTTATCAATGGAGTGGAATTTTTTTTCCTGTGTGTTTTTGCCCTTTTTCTGCATATATTTCTTTAGATAACCAGTCGCTATGGATTTATTTGTGCTGCTGAGAGAAGTGAGTGAATGTACTTCTGCATCTATTACTTTTTTGAAAGGGCAATGTAAACGTTCCGTCTTTGAATGATGTATAAAAGTTGGTTTGATTGTTTGTTTGTCCGAAATGTGGTGATAATATGCGTTATTTTGAGGTGTTGGTTTTTGAAAAGGGGAAATGAATCTGTGACTCAAGAAGTGAAAGTTCACGAGCATGCAGTTAATGATTGATTTATGTTTTGCAGATAAGTGTATAGGACGACAGTGATAAATGATAATATTCCGATTGGTGGTGAAGGAGTAATAGTTGAAGTGGATGAGAGAAAGTTCGGGAAAAAGAAGTATGGAAGAGGAAAGCCTGTAGACGGTCATTGGGTGATTGGTAGTATAAGAAAGAGGAAACGAACAGATGGTTTTTTTTAGAGAAGTTGAGAATTGGAGGTGAGTTTGGAGAGAGCGATCGTTGAATGGGTATTGCCGGGATCAATTGTCGTTTCAGACAGCCGGGATCAATTGTGGACTAAAAAATTTAGGTTATGGCCATCAGCCTGTCAACACAGTCTGTATTTCCGGGATCCCAAAATGGGTGCGCACATTAATTCCGTAGAGGGTACTTAGTCTGGAATCAAGCGTCATTTGCGTCGCAGTACAAATCACATAGATAGCGAATTTGATTCATATTTAGGGAAATATATGTGGTGCAACCGCTCATTGAGTGATGAACGTTATCGTGCCTTTTGAACGGCAATTATAAAGGTTTATCCTCCGGAAAGGCGGATAAAACGGAGTAAATTTTTTTAAAGACGGGGGGAGTTCAGGAATTTTCCCCTCGACATAAATTCAAGAAACCTCTCAAAAGGACTTTCCATTTCCCCAAAAAGTGTAAGTGAAAAAATATTTTCTTTTAAATTTCTTTTTAAAGTTGCGTATTTTTAATATTATGCTATCTTTTCGGCTCAATCCTAGATGATGGGCAAAGCCAATGCAGTGCACAATGCCGAATTTATGCAATTCTCTGATGTTTTTTAAGTGAAAAGAGATCGCTGTGTACCTGACAAATCCAAGGTTGTGCGCGATGCCGAGTTCATGCAATTCTCTGATGTTTTTTATGGAAAAATCGATCTATGTGTACTGAGACAAAGCCAAGGTAGTGCGCAATGCTGAGTTTGCGCAATTCTCTGCTTTTTTAAGTGAAAAATAGATCGATGAGTACATGAACACCGAGTTTGCGCAATTCTTTGATGTTTTTCAAGTGAATGCAGATCTTTGTGCACATGAGCAAAGCGAGGTTGTGTATGATGCTGAGCAGTAATGTAACATATTTTATGTGCAATGTTTAAACAATAGCAATAAGTAACTTAAAACAAATCAAATACTAAATACAAATCAAAGACTATCAAATACTAAATACAAGTCAAATGAAATACAAATTTAGAAACAAAAAAGTCCATGATCTTATATTATATACAATACTTTTTACAATTATATACACTACGTACTACGGCCACAGTAAGGAAACCTGTCGTAATGAAGGACTTTAGGCTTAGAGTTCGATGACTTATTGATCCGAACCATGTCGTTCAGCCTGTTTAGGACCGTGTACGGACCAAACAAAAGATCACAAGGCAGACGAAGGTCACGACCAAAGAACATCCAAGATGGAGAATAGCCGGTAATCTCGTGGACAGCACTGCGGTAAGCCAGTAGAAACAATGGTAACTTCTTTTACCCGTCCTGTTGGTTTCTGGAACCACTAATGAGAGGTTATTAGGAATGGTCCGATTAAACCTCTCTACCGTACCGTCCGTATTTTGTCCCTCTAGATTTCAGATTTTGTCAATGCCGAGTAGCTTGCAAAGTTCTTTAATTACAGCTGAGGTAAAATTCCTTCCCTGATCTGATTGTAACTGAAGAGGCACTCCGAACCTGGACATCCAGTGCTCTATCATTACTTCTGCTACTGTGAAAGCCTCTTGATCAGGAATAGGATATACTTCAGGCAACTTGGTGAAGTAATCAATGACAACGAGGATGTGTTTGTTGCCATCAGTAGTTTCGTGGCAGAGGTCCCAAGATGTCAAAGGCGATACGCTCAAAGGTGCTCCTACATAGTAACGTTGCAGCTTGCCTCGGCTGCATTTTCCGACTTATACAGGCATCGCAAGATCGGCACCACTTTTGCACGTCATATTTGCAAGATTCCAGTAGAAGCGCTCACGAACTCTCTGACAGGTCTTCATTATTCCGAAGTGATCTCCTGTAGAGCTGCTATGTAGTTTTTTAATCCAGGATCTTGGAAATACCAGTTTCCATCGGAAAGTTCTTCCCATCATCCGATTCGAATTTCCGGTACAATACGCCGTTTCGAATATGGACTGTGGCCCAGAAGCCAATATTGTTTTATCATGGTAAGTACTAACCGCAGGTAACCGGCGGACGGCCAAAGATGTTTACTTTCATATTTAATCTATCTGTTATTGAGTACAAGCAATAAACACATTTCTTAAGAATATTTTTGTCTAGTTTTTATTCTGATGGATTTAAGTAAAAATGTATTTAAATCAAGAGATGTATAATTAGAATTATCAAATATCTTTATGCACTTGTACTCATTAAATCATTATACGTTTTCCTTTTTTATTAATTATTTTAGGAGGCTTGTATATAAAATTTAAAAGAAAAATATATCAGTATTAATATGAATTGTTTGCTTATTTAAACTCTGTTTTTTAATTAAGTGATATCTCAGTGCAATTAATCATATCATTCATAAATCGATAAGCTTTTCTTTTGAAACAAATATTAGAAAATAAAACGTCGCCCAAACGCCAATAGTGGTTTGCGACGCTGACTACTGTACCGATGTGCCCGGTTTCGTATCCCGGAGAAGGTATGAATGTTTTGTAAATGTATACTGTCTTTGCGGCATGGGGGCACTCCAAATATACGGCGAGCAGAGAGTTCTCTCGAGAGGATGTGATAGGGAAAGAGGGGTGGACTCTCAAATTCATGCCCAGAAGTGCTCGCTCTCAAAATTGGGGGCCGAAGTAAGCTAAAGTCGGCCTGTCATCTATATGGAGCTCAAAGCTCTTACCAACGACAGGCGCAATCTTGCATTCCTTGCCACGATGAATTTCGTGGGCTTGTTGTGATGTATTTGTCAGACTAGTGAGATAAGTCACAACAAGAGCTAACAAAAGATAAAATTTTATTCGTTAACAATATGTACAATTATATACATCATTTCATTATTGTATATTACAAATTTTGCTGCGAAATTTAGCTTTTGAAGTTTGACTTCCTCTACGGGACCAGAAACTCTTTTTAGATACTGGTCTGTCTCTATAATCTTCTAAAACCTGTCATAAAGATAAACATAATTAAATACGCATAAAAACAAAAGTGCATAATAAATTAATATAAAACATTTCCAAAGGTAGAAAAGTAGCGAAGTAGAGTACAAATAGGAAGTTAAAATCAATAACAATATTTTTGATTACTATAAGGTAATAAAAAGAATGAATTTCATTATTCCTGTTGATATTAGATATGGAAGACGGACTACTACAAATTTGTCTTCAGGGCCTATTTTTATTTTCCTTCCTCGGCTGGTTGCAAGCTTAGTCTTAAGAGGAAAAGTTCTCTCTCTCTCTCTCTTTTTTTTTTTTTTTTTTAAGTGGTCCAAGAAAAGTTACTATATTCTATGACTACTGAAGAGAAATAAACAGAAACTGGATTGTTTGTAGTGCATACAGTTTCGTACTTTGAGAATGGATTACTGAAAGACGAAAATATATATTTTTTTATGGGGAAAGGAGGTAAAAAGTCGCACATTTTTTACATCAATGAATTAGCAGAGTGCATTTTTATATTTTGAACATTATACGAAAAAGAATTGAATGCGGAATACTCTTTATTAAAATGGATTTCATCTTTTTCAGGTTTTAAGGACAATTTTAAAAATTGCAAAACTACGTAGCGGGCCCTACTGTCTGTTTAATTGTGTAATACCATACAAACGTTCAGTTGTTTTTATTTTGGACTCATAAAAAAAATTACACGAGCTAGATTACTAGAAAATTCTTACCAATGGTGAATTTAATAATATTCAAAACACCGAAAAATATATTATTGATACAACTTTTGGTTAAATACATGTTCGCTCATGCACCTACAAAGGAAGGGAAAGAGACACTATAAGATAACAACAACAACAAAAATATTAAATATAACAATAACATAACATAACGTGAGACAAATAAAAAAGAAAAGAGGTATCAGCAGCTCTTTGCAATATATAGCAAAGCCAGTACTAGGCTTTTTAGGATAAAGGAATACAGTGACAGGCGGAGGCTATTTGTAACACCAGTATTCTACTCTACCAACTTGAAATGCGTTACAGAGAGAAATAACAGCACAACTTCCAAGCGGCACGCCAACATCGAACGCAGCTCCCAGGCGGCACACTACGCATACATATTACTCACGTATTTAATTATATGCATACAATAAAAGAGTAAGGTATAAAGTATTAAAGGAGAATATACTAACAATATAATGTTCATTAATGGAAATATGTATTAATTGTATAAAAGCCTTAACGTAAATAATTGGTTAGGTTTAATACAGTATTGTGGTTTAGGTTTTAAGGTAATCAAAAATTTTTTAATATGATACGTGTGTTCCTGTTTAACACTTACACACATCATTAAATTAAAATATACACAATCCAGTTTAATGGAAGTATTCTGCTTGCTAAATTTTTAAAGGCTTCATCATATTTGCTAGAGAATCTCAATGCTGATTCCATTTCCAAGCCATTTTTGTGCTTTTTTTTTTCATTCGGACGTTCATTCAAAAATATTTTCATGTAATTGATAAATTTACTTCTCCTGTAACTGAACGTATTCTTACTAAGATCTAACGCTATAACTTGTAAAGTTTCATTAAGTTAATCTAACCAGTTATTATGATTTAGATCTTTACTGTCCTTCCCCTTTCCGTTTTCCTACTAGAATGTAAATCAGGTTAGAGAGTATTTAAGACTATAAGACATAAATTTGTATTTTCGGACTGTAAGACAGAGCATGTTTCTTCCTCTGGAGGCCACGTTACTAATTTTCGCTAGCTCTGATAAGATTGTAATTCTTTGGGGTTGCGACATAGCTACTGACATTTAAATTGTTACTCCGGTAAGAAGTTTCTGAGACAACATCGTTTTAAACCAATTGTGTAGCCTTTGGCTACTTGAGTTAGTTTTAACTCTTGAAACTGGCTGTTATTTTACATTCAGTTACCCCGCTGCAAGTGGTGGTTGATTTGTAAGCCTGAGACGTGCATTTTATATTCAAGTTACGATTTAATAAAAAGGTTTGTTTTTAAACCTTCTTAAGACTTTGCAGTTCTTTTCAGATACAGTAATATTTCGCTCTAAGTCTGTTAGGAATTTGGACAGTTTATGATAATAAAGAACAGCAAACTATATAAACTTTTAAATACTATGAATGTGTACTATGCTTTCGTATTGCGAAATGTTTATTTTCTTGCCTGATTTCCAAAAAGACTTAAAAACTACCATTTTAAAAAAAAATTCTTCCCCTTTAGATCTCAAATTTAAAGACAACTAAAATAATTGGATATAATGATCTCTAGCACACCCAGTTCTCCCCTTAACTCTGTTATGAAATTTTTCCCTAGTTGACTGCATCTCAATCACGAACTGAAGACGTAGCTGATGTAGAAAGTACAAATCCAATCTAATTCCCTCACGCCCCCAAAAAATGCACCAAGAAGGAGTTATCCGATTGTAACAAAATTTCGAAGAATAGACACACTTGCTAAAGGGCGCCTGCGAAACAAAATATTGTTAACAGCCTAGTTGTCATAGCTCTGGAGATTGAATGAGAGCCTATAATCATAGCTCTGGATAACTAAATGATGAAAATAATAATATGCTTAAATGCAGTGTTCCAAAATATTAATTCTGTAAAAAAAAATCCACTCTTATTTTTCAGAAATATACTTCTGACAACTACATTTCTTCATATTTCTGTTAAGCGTCTTCATTTTTTCCCCAAGCGCTTTGTCGTGATTAATCAATATATTTTTATTGCACTGAGTATTATATATTCCATTCCCTATGAAAAATAACCTCAGATTCATCTTCAGATCATCACATAAGTAGTAATTTAATTTTATAAAATGAAATTTTATGAGAGATTTCGAAAATAGCTACAAATATGTCAAAGAATAAAGCAGAAATCGCGATTTCATATGTGGGGTTCCAATATTTTATCTAACAGCTAAATGTGTAAGAACCTCGTGAACCGATAACCGAACAATCGCTTGAGTTCGCGAACAGAGACTTAAAACTCAAGAAGGGTTTCAAAGTAAGAATTGAACAGTCGGCTCCTTTCTCAGCGCACAGCAAGCCTCCTTGGACTTGAACTAAAATGCAGTAAATAGAAAATAAAATAATTTTCAAAGTAAATAGAAAATAAAACTTAACCAAAAGATATAGCCGAAGCTATCAAGATTTCTAAGTAGTCGGTCCCTCAATATCAAATAAGCTGGCGAAGCTATCAAGGGCCTGAAATACGGCCAAGCGTAATACAAATAGCTTAGAGAGAGACGTAGCCAAAAGGCGAACGAATGCTAGTCAGAAACTCTGGCTCTCTGAAGAAGTCAGTGGAACTTCGACTTAAATACCACTCTTACTCATTTGCATTAAACACGATTCTAAAAAACACATTCTGGTAGGAAACTGTAATCTGAAATCTAGAGGGACAAGAAAGTAACTTTAACTAAAGATAACTGTTAAAAACTTAGGATAAATCTTACACATTATTCAACTCCTCTTTGTGTTATCAGAGTAGAACACGAAGACTACTGGAGGACACTAGCACAGCAGGAGCCAACGGACTTTTAGGGATCCCCATTTCGGTAACAGCAATGGACATCGTGTGTGGAGACACCGCTCTCGTGCCATTATGTCTCAAAGAATAGCTAAGAGGAGTTAAGGCCTGGAGTATCATTTTAGTTGATAATCTGACTACTTTGTTTGTAATTTGTGACACACAGTTTAGGAATCGACAATATTCTACGGCCCGCTGTGTTGCCCTTCTTTTCGAGGCACCCCGGCCTCATATTTCGACAAGATAATGCTCGGCTGCTTAAGGCAATGATTCTATTGATTGTTTTCATGATTACCAAACCCATCCTAGGCCATTTAGGTATCTTCGCTGAGCGGCTCAAGATGTCACCGATTTAATTTGTTTGATCATTACTACCGCACCCACTTTTCTTCAAGTGAGTTACATTCGAAAGGACAGCAGAAACCTAGAATTCGGCCATGTGAGCGGGGAACCATTTTATGATTTTCCAATGCAAGTGGCAAGTGACCAACAAAATTTCATTGATAATTAATGCGATTTATGGTGACGACACAATGAGTCGATAGGATGAGAAGAGGGTCGCTAATTCTTGGCAGGCAGGACGTACAAGTTCTTCAGAAAATGGAAAAAATTTGCGCTAATCAGTGTGCAAGGTTAAAACGTTTACATAAAATCTTTCCTCAAGTCTCGAAGGTATTGATAAATGCAGTCGTAACTATAGAATTAGGGAATATAAAACTGTGCTTACGCTGGCTGTAGAAAATTTTAATGAAAGAGCTTAAAAAGAAAAGGATAAAAAAAGCTTTGGAGTTTCTCACATGCTATATAATAGTTACTGGAATATGATAAAGCTCGCAAAAGCTATCTGCCTTAGAAAAGAGATGGTTTCGCGGAGTACTTTCTAAGGGAAAATGGCTCATATTTATGCTACACATCGAAAAAAAAAAAAAAAACACGAAAAGTAACTATGCAGCCAGCTAGTTTGCTTGGGTTCGAACCCAAGACGACCAGCATTCAGCGGTCTTAGGTGACTGGTGAGGCCGCTATGCAGAAGGTGATGAATGCCAAAATTTTATTATTGAAGATGAGACTTAGGTTTTTGATCTCACCCTTAAATCTAAGAAACAACAGTGGCATATGTACTTTTCAAAACAACAGAAATTCAAAACTTCGTTTTCGGCTTTAAATGTCATTGTTGTGATTTTTCTCTAACATACATGAAATTTTCCTCAGCTGATGCCTTTTGGAACAATAATTAATGTTAACGCATATATATTGTGACCTTACAGGGTCCTTCATGTACCATCCAAAACAAAAGGAGTGACATGATGACACACAATGTCTGCTTGATTCACGACAACTTGTGCCATGTTTATGCTAAGCACTTGAACTTGTACGTCATGTTTATGATATGCAAAGCGGGGCTAATGGACAAGGCACTAATGTCTAACTCCTTACCAAGCTCTCGAGTGGTTGCATACTGAATTTCTTCCTCAAGTTCTCGCAGGCGGACCTCATCATTATCAAGAGGCCGGCCAGAGTTCTCTGCTTATGGGATGTCATTGACCTCGTTTTTGAACTTTCGATACCAAACCTTTACAGTGTCATATGATACAACATTATTAATTAAAGCTGTATACATAATTTGGTGACATTCTGTAGCTGACGTTTTGCAATAGAACTGGAAGTAAACAATGGTTCTAATCTGGTAGCGTGAAAATCTCATTTCAGACACCTTGTACTTAATGATTAACGGTTTTGGTTTTTACAAATTTCACAAAAGAGTGTTCTAAAGCAAGCCTTTTTCTTTGAAATTTCAGAAATCGTTTGACAAAATATGATTAACACGCCAACACGGACTGTTTGCACAAACGATATTTGCAGTGGCGGGAAACTTTCATTAAAACAAGATATATTGGGCTCATAACAATAATAATAATGATAATGAAACAAATTTCAGCGTATACTCACTTCATAGTCAACTGACTGCTCTTTCTTATCAGATGATTCCTGATATTTTTTTAGTTCTTCTTTTAACTTCAGAATTTCATTCTCTAATTCTCTTTCTCTCTCCTAAAATACAAATAAAAATACGTATTTGAAAGAAAATGTGATATACTCAAAAATGTACCTTTCAAATAACAAAATTAACGTTTTTAAGGACGGAAAGAGTTAACTACACCTATTTAATGTATTCAAATAGACCCATTTATTATCAACAATATTATAGTTTCTCGTTGGCAGCACATCTAGAGACCCAATCATATGAACACATACATTTACATCACATTAATAAATCTCATTAAAGCTAGTTACATAGTCTTAGCAGTAGCTTTAATATTATTAGCATAGTTATTTATGTAATCCATAAATAAATAAGGAACAGGATAACAGTTTGTATTAAACATATTTCATTTAATAAATTAATAATAAATCTGTGAACATGTTATAATTCATTTCTAAATTTAATTCTCTTACATCCAAAATTCAATCAAAAATAGTTTTTGAAATTGAAATTCAATATAAAGTATTTGCAAAACTGTGTTTCTAGGCAATTTAAAAGATCCAGTTTAATACTTGAAATTAATGTTTTAATTACTTTTCAATTACAATATTGTTTATAGTAAAAAAAAAAAAAGTCCAATGAATCATATTTTACCCACTTCTTCCCCATGTTTATCTTTTTAAATAAAACCTTCAATTTTATCATTCGAAATAAATACATTGCTATTTTTTATTTGAACAGACAAGATGAGATAAATCGTTTAGTTTCTCAAAAACATCTGACAAATAGCATCGTTTTGAAAGCCATTTTGAAAAGCCATTTTGAAAAGTCATTTTGAAAAACAGCGGCAAGATCAGATTTTGTTCGGTTAATATATAATAATTTCATCTGTTAGTTACAATAATCTTCTTAAACATCGCCCTCTGGACATCCATCTCACTTCTGCATGTAATAATAAATTTTGTACTCGGAATTAATGTCTTAACGGAAATCTGAAAATAAACGGATACTAAGGGCACGGTTTTTAATAAATTTTGTAATTTACACAGCATCGAGAAATTCATCGTTGAATTCCATTGCTAATTTATTGGCTACAAGGGCTTCTCGATAGATCTCGCAAAGTCACATAATCATTGCCAGTAGCTTCAACAAATGATTTAAAATCAACATTTCCATTACTTTTTCACTAAGTGTGCATACTCCAATGCAATTTTTACATTCTACCTTCGGTTTAAAAAATTCGTCCGCTTAACTGTGTATGTGTTCCTCTCTTCTGTTTTCTTCTACAAGACGATAAACAACAATTCTTTATCGATATTTTCTTTATAAATAAATTTTACATATACTAACAACTCAGAGTTTTTTTTTAAATATCAGTTGTTTCGTAAAACCTAAATTATAAATCAAAATTTAAGTCTAACAATAAATTGCTCAAACTGGAAATTGGTCATTGCTAATTAAAAAAATTCTGTTGAATACAGTATCGTTTGGCAAAGAAGTTTTTCGAATCTCATAGCCGTACATTACTTCTGTGCATTATTTCTACTAATTTAATAGTAGCAGGTAATACAAGATCTTCTCCAACGGTGTATGGTCTTTTATTTTTAGCAATAAGATATGAAACCTCGTATGACGTGAATAAATAAACGTTTGCTAACAATCATAAATTTCTCAAAATATTGTGTTTCTTTAGCTGAAGATTTTAACAGTTGTTCAAAATGTTCTTTTGGTTTATTCAAGGATACTTGAATTCAAGATACCTTTTCAGTTTTGATGATTTCATATTCTATTTAGCCAAAACATTATTGAAAATTAAAAAAGAGGTTATTAATTACTATCACAAGTTGTTACACGTAAACCTGGATAGGAGAAATGCCCCATCATATTTTTTTCGCATCTTAGATGCCTCTTTCTGATTATTAGATCCTGCCTGAAGACAGTAACATTGCCATCAGCGACCTTATCTTCATTACCACACGTTCAACCATTTATCCATGGGCAAAAATTATCGTTCTAAAACATAGATAACATCTCTCATAATATCCAAAGAGAATACAGTAAAATATAATACAATATTTTTCTTGCGATTCTTTCTACACACTTTTTGCGATGGAACAGAAACAACTGAGCTACAGTAAAAAAGTGTTATCACTACACTAGTCGCCGCATTCTTGGCATACTTACTTGTGTAGCACAGGGCATTACATATTGTGCATTTGCAGCATATTTTGCTTCTGAAATAACAAGGCGACCCCGCTATTATGAATAGGTGTTTTATACTATGTAAATATAATTTACAACTTGGTCAGTATTACGACTTTTTTTAAGATTAAATTGTATAGAAAATACAACATATTAAACTAAAAATAATAAAGCGATTATGACTAGAGTTTCTTTGAATTCATGTATCTGTATAAAATTTTCGCAACTGAACATTTTATTTTGCAATCGCATCTGGGGTTGCAATCCGTAGTTTAAGAAACGCTGGACTAGAATCTTCAGAATAATGAACCACTTACATTACTCAAAACACCATTACTTCGATTCATTTCTAAATTCTGAACTTCAGTATCACATTCAGTTGCATCTAATGGTTTCCTTCGAGAACCAGTATCTTGAACTTTGCTTTCTGTTTCAAATGGAAAAGGCCTAAAGAGAGTAATAATATTCAGTCTGCTGGAATGATTTATTAATATTAGCATAAAATACCAGATAAGATTCATGATGCACTGAAAAATGGAAAGAAATGATATTAAATTATTTACATATACATAAGAGTTAGCGTAAGACTTAAAAGAACAACACAAAATCGATTATGAGGAACTCTTTCCAATCAAGCCAGTATTATTGTTAAGTGTAAATGAAGTAAATTATAATAATGTCAGCAGTGCAGTTAGTTGGACAGTTGATTCATTAACTAAAAAGTCTTAGTCTACGATAAGAAAGAAAACAGGTACTGTGGAAATTGATAAATACCGCTTTGCATTACATGTTCCAGAGCTTTACAACTAATAATGACCGCGAAACTAAAATCTTTGATAAGCAAAATAAAGAAAAAATATGATGTGTACACCACAAGAATTGTACGGAATATTAAATTATATGCATTTTTTCTCGCATTCAGTTTAAACTTATTTCCTTGAATTTCATTAGAGATGTATTTCTCATTCAATTAATTCAGTTCTCGCTTCGCGACAAGGCAAAAATACATAAAAACTCAAAATACCTGTCTTAAAAATTGAAAGACATAGAAAAACATAAAACACCAACTTCAGTTAAAAATAATAATAATAATAATAATAATAATAAAACTATTAAAATTACAGTTTCTACAGGGAAAAAAAAAAAAAAAAAAAAAAAAAAAAAAACAATGAATTCGCCAGCGGGCAAGAAAGCATATTTTTCAGTGCACAAAAAGTGAAAGCTTTTGCTCTCACTCGGCAAAAAGACATTGAAGGCGTAGAAACTAACTTAATATATTGTTGAGTTAATGTATGAGATAATTTAACAACTTAAATGAAATTTCAGAATGGATTAAGCATAACTTAATTCGCAATAATACAAGAAGACGTTACTTTGTTTTAGCAAAGCTTAGTTTCTCTAGATTGGCAACAAATCCACTATTCTGCAAAGTTTCAAATGTAAACAAATATGGCTGCTATGGTAAAAAAGTACGCTTAGCCGCACTTAAACCACTTTTAAATTGTTGATAATTCTAAACTATAACATGCAGGTTAACTAAACGCACAAAAACCTTACCCGGAAGATAAGAACAACATAATTCAATCATTTTTAAAGCGAAAAATGCAAAATTTACAAACATATAAGAATAAAGAATCTGAGCTCACTGAGCCGAGTAACAGAGTGGATATATATATATATATATATTTAGATATTTTTTCTGTGTCCGATTGCAACTAAAAGAGAGATACACATCTACATGTCACATCAGGTCACATAAAAAATTTCAATGTTCTGAGGCTATTTGTTTTTGAGTTATGCGAGATAATACACACATACGGTACAGATGCCACGAAAAAAGTCTCTTCTGGATCATTTTAAATCAGTTTTATAATTCGTTTAGGGAAAAAGAGTCCTTTATTATGTCCTTACATACAGATGTTAAGCAAAAACATAAATTGCATTCGATAGTGGTCAAAATGGATATTTTCGTTGAAATATGGCACCCGGAATTCTTCATGATTACAATACTTCCTTTACTTCGTGCAAGGAAGTAGAAAGGGGGTTAAGAGATTTTATAAGTATATAGAACTGAAAATGAATTGTATAATATAACGCTTTTGACATTACGTTTAAGAATCCAAGTGCTTTATCTAATGTAAAGGCATCTGGAACTTTATTATGGCATAGAAAACTAGGGCATCTTGGTTATAAACATTTTAAGAAATTTGTTTTACTGTTTAACAGCACTGTCAGGGTTCTGAATTTAAATGACGATACCCAGGAAGATGTTGGAGCAATAATGTCTTTCAGTCACCAACGCTGCCAGTAACACCGAAATGAAAAATTCAATCGAAGCAAATGTCATCGAAATGAGGAAAGAGGCGGTCGCTGAAATGAACAGCTGCATCCATCACAGGAAATGCCGCTGAGATGGAAGCAGAGTACCTCATCGGACACTCTGAAATGAAGGACATGGAAACAGCAAATGCTACTGAAGACATTACCTGACAACATGACCAGCTATCATCTCTTTTCGTGAAAAGGAGATGATAGCTGGTTGCACGCATGAAGTGAATGAAGCCAGCAATTCTACTGAGAAATTGTTTATTTTCTATATTTGAAGATGTTACGAGTTCTATAAATGTACGTAACGCATAGAACACTTTATATATCGTCACAAACAACGCAATTGAAACCAAACTTAGCCCAGAGACAAGAATTAGTGTCTGCAACTATCATACTTACAGGACTGAAACACTTAATCCCAAAAGACGTGATAATATAGCACTTCTTATCAAGCGCTCCATCTCTCATTACCCAATGACAATGCCACAGCTTTTTCATTAAGGCCACAGCTATTAACATCACTTCAAGACTCTTTATCACAGACTTTTGTCTCTACCAATCTATCATCCAGTTGTCGGCCACAACGTGTTTCTTCCAAATTGGATGAGCGACCGAGCGGTAGTTGTTGAGCAATGGTAGTTCGGTCCAGCGTTCGAATCCCAGAGAATAGGCTGGTTATATGGGTGATTTCATGTTTTTCCCCATGTGTAACATGGTTACGAGCCATTATTGCTTAGAAAGTCCTCCACGAAGGCATCCCTTCCTTGAGTGCTTTGCTATTAGTAAATAAACTAAACCAAAACCGACTCGGATGTTTTGCTCTCTCTCAACAATCGAGTCAATAAAAGTGAAGACTTAAACGCACGATACCGCCGTGGAGCTGTTTTAATTCTAATGCTATAGGTGCTATAGGTTGCAAGTTAGAAGCATTTACCTTATACAATACGATCAATTTTATAAGTAATAAACAAAATCTTTCTACTATGCTAATAAGATTAAGATATAGCGGCAATACTATAATGCTTTAACGTCGGCTAACAAAATAGTTAACATGGGGATATGAACAGGCACAGCTGTGCAATAGAAAGTAAAGCTACAAGCATTCCTGCCAAAACCTCTATATCTAAAGCTTTCAAAACCCTCGCATTATATACTTTTCAGCTTAATTTGCATCCTGTTGAGGCTAGCGGAAAGGAAAAGTTATAGAAAAGGTTCAAAATCATAAATATAGGTAAATTAACATAAAATACCTTACAGTTTATGGCTAACCTAGAGTAGAATTTGAACCTAGAATATTCATCGATGAATAAAATGAATAATGCATAGTTTCTACACAGAATTTTAGATAATACTTGATAAAAAATATTGATATTAAGAGATTTACTTACTTTACTTTAATATGCTGAAAATTTTTATTATTAGCAGGTTTGTGCTGTTGAGGAGTATCTTGTTTATCTGCAATAAAAAGTGCATTGATTTTTCATTCAAGACTGAATTCACATTGTAAGCTTAAAAGAACATGCTACGTAAATAATCTTCTACCTTGAACATTGCCAATGCTTGTAGTTGTAATGTTCTTTTTAATAGCTGTTGATGAAACTGCATTAGCTAATTCCATTTTTAACCATTCTGGAATCTAAAAATATTATTTTAAAAAAATTTACGTTAAAATTGAAAAAGTAAATTGCATAAAATTGTTCAAATATTCAAAAATTTGAGAATTCAATAAGATTTTGAAATTCAAAAACATAAAAACTATGAGAAAATTCCAAATTTTTAATTTGAAAAATTATACCGTTATATGATAAAAAAATGTATCTACACTTACAGGTCCAAGACTATCTTCTTCAGGTACAGAAGCTTTTGATTCATTTTTAGGGGCAGACTGTGGAACTTGAACAGGATGATGATGATTCTCAGCATTATTTTTTACTTTGCTTTTTTTACTTTGCGCCCTTGGTAATGGGGCTGTTGTATCTACCACTAGGTAAACTTGCATTCCAAAGCAGAAAACATTTGCCAAGCTTACCATCTCACCTTTAGCTATTTGAGCAGGTGATGCATATAAACTGTTGAGGGAAAAAATAAATAAACCGAAAATTCTTCAGATATAATAACCAATTAATATATTTTTCTTTAATTGCAGGAAATGTGGGCTTAGGATGTGACCTTTATACTGATAACTACAGTAGATAGCTATTTTGAACATTTAAATAAGCAATACAAAACTACGGAGTTGAGACAAATTTAACATAGCAAATGCAGAATTTGGAAAATTTTTCATTTTGAAAGAGAAAACTTTTTTTTTTTTTTGACTTATTTAATTCTACTATATAAGCCTTGCAAAATAAAGAAAAAAATAAATATAAGCATAAACATTTTTACAGTTAACCTCCAATTATTCAGATCAGTTGATCTTTTGAGGTCAAAGCTCAATATTAATTTATATACGAATTTTTTATTTTCTAACTAATTCAAATAATACATGAAAATAAAATATCACAATATACATATTTTTTATTATTCAACAAATTCTTGTAATGGAGTTGGCCCAGAAGGGCTATTAATTTCGTTTCGGCATTTTGCGTTGAAAACTTTAAATGTTCGTTTCACTTTTCAAATTGTTGCCACAAAATATTATCGCCCTTTGTTACATTTAAAGAAACTAAAATAATGAAGAATCTGCATAAATGTATGTGTTTTTCTCGCATTGTGATAAAACAACGGTACCTAGAGCCATCAAATTTTGAATAACATAATCCTTCACCAGATATGGGAATCGAATTTGTTTTATTATATATTTCATATTTTGTAAAGCACTTACGAGTTTTGATTAACAAACTCAACGATTCCAAAGCGAGCAATATGGCAACATTCTACCGGGAAAAAACATTTTTTCTCCAGTGCGCGAGACTGTGCATCGAAAATTCTAAAGATATGCTTGTTTTAAAATTATTTTGCGATATAAGTGTTGAACTTTACGATTTAAGTGCGGAGAACATGATATTGTTACAGTTTTTGTATTTAGCTTGCTATTTTTAGTATAATTGTAATTAAATTGGATAATTTCCCCGTGCAATGCTGCGCGCGACGAGTTTTAAGTGAACATTTAAGTGACGAGTTTTACGCCGAAAAAGTAAAAATACAGGAGCACGCTTATTTTAACACTTAATAAATAGGTATCTCGTAATTGTAGTCTTTTGCTTTCCAGAAACCTCGAGAAAACAAAAATTACCAGAATGTTCTCGTGCATAATTAAACAGCTTTAAAAAGCCGGAGAAAAACATCTCAGCTCAATTGTTTACTTAGGGCTGTTATTGATTGTAGCGAATTCGCGGTGAAATCAGTTTAGCTTCCTCTGTATGTTGAATTGAGTTCTATTTAAAGTTGTAGTAGTTTAAAATATAACTATTGTGAGATATTGCGATACTGTACGAATATCTCTGAGGAAATTTCAGCATTTTGTTTTATTTCTTGGGATAACCCTAATTTCGAATTTGTTTTATTATCTATTTCATATTTTGTAATACTTTAACGAATTTTTGATTAACAAACTCAACGATTTCAAAGCGAGCAACGGCAACACTGTACGAAAAAAAACATTTTTATCTCCAGCGCGAGACTGTTTATCGGAAATTCTAAAGATACGTTCTTTTTGAAATTATTTTGCGATACTGTTGTTAAATTGAATTTTATGGTTCAAGTGCAAAGAACCATATGGTTCAAGTGCATTTCAGAAAATAAAGGTAACACACAAAACGTTAAAAAAACGTTCCTTTGGGCGTAATGTAAAATCTGAACCTTTGAGATTTTTTTTTAGCCCAAAGGGCGTTAGCCTGTAGAGTCGGAGATGTGAAAAATGAGCAGCGCCCTTGCAGGGACTCGAAACTCGGACCTCTCGAATACGCGCCGAGTGTGCTGACCATTACACCACGAAGGCATGCTAAGAAGGCGGGGGAATACCTTATTTTTTGGAACACCTCGATTTTTTGGAAAGTATTACGCCAATACGACATCCATCAACTACAGCCTTGAATGAAGTTTTCACTGAGTGCAACCGAAGGCTGCAGGCTTTAACTGCTTTAGCATAAAATAGCGAAGCATACGGCCGTGTCTTAGCACACAAAATTTTAGGTGCTTTTCCTGATGATATGCGCAGAAGATTGATTATTCACGCCAAAAGAGTGAAAATCGGAAGGGGATATTAACTGCACTTCGTCAGTTTCTCGTAGAAGAAGTGGAAGGAGCACTTACTGCTCAAGAGATAAGTGAGAAAACCAGTTGATTATATATTTAGTTCTTCAACAGCAGCTCTAAATATTGACTCTAAAATCCAAAATGGTTCAAAGAAACATTCCCCATTTCGCCCATTCTGTAATACTAAGGGATTTTGGCCTCAAAATTCTGAAACTATAACCGATATGACTCGCGTATTCAAAAGTTAAAGAGTGCTGGTAGGTGTTTCTTGTGTACGAACGAGGACATAATTTCAAAAATTGTGCACGCAAGAAAAAGGTTTTCTGCATTAAATGCAAAAAGAAGCACCAAACTTCAATTTGTAAAAGTCCGATTATCGTTCCAATGCCTCCAGTTTCTTCTATTAATCAAACAGATGTGCTTGCTCCTAAGGTTGCAAACTGATCGAATCTACATCACTGGCCCAACAGGCACTATTAAATTAACTCAATGCGTTTTAGGTGGTGTACCAGTCCAGTTTTGTTCATTCACATCTCGTAGATACATTAAAATTACAAGTTATTAGTTCGAATACATTGCAAGTTAGAGGATTTGAGTCTTTCTCATGTATTGCACAACATAGACGTCAAGTGCAGTTTAATGTATCCGACATCTGGAATGAATCTACAGTCACCCTAAAGGCATCTGACACTTATGGCCACTTATGCATATCATCCCAACGCACCCATTAGAAATTGTACCTCTTGCTCGTAAACAGAAACTGAAACTTCCTGATCCCTATGATACGTCAAACAGCATACCTAACGAAGTGTTATTTGATGCAGATTTCTATTGCAGTGTTGTCAACGCCGAGCCACCTGTCAAATTAACGGTAACCCTTGGCATGGTGCCTTTGATTTATGGTTGGTTTATTAGCGGATCTCGCTCCAAAAGTATCGTTACTTCCTCATCCGTAATTCATAACGTTAATACATCAATTGTCAAGCATATAATAGATGAAAATATTAGAAGTTTTGGGGATTTAGAAACTATTGGTACTTCTCAAAATAGGGAAATGTCCAATAATTATACAGAAATTTTGAAAAGTTTCCTAAATTACAGAGGGATGTCGAGTTGTGAAGTTGCCATGGAAACAAGATGTCATCCTGTCTTTCGACAATTATGATGTGTCCGACAATTATGTATACAATTAAGGTTTGTACAGTTTCGCAAAAAACTATCTGTTAATCCAAATTTAAAGCATGATTATACGGATCGCATGCAAGATTATATTGATAAGAATGAAGTCGTAATTAGTCTGCAATATTAAGCCCAAAATTCTAAATATTACCATCTTCATCATCATGCAATTCGGAAGAAGAAGAAAAAGAAAAACCGCTAGACCTTTTTGTCCCAGCAGCAGTTGTAGGAAAAATTCTTTTTTAGGATACATGATTCTACGGATTGCTGTGGATCGAATCTCCCTCGGCTCACGATGGCGCAAATGGACCACTGAGTTACCACTTTTAAACACCAGATACATTTCAAGATGGACTGGAGTTTCATCTTCTTCTGAGGTAAATATTCGTATATTTTGCGATGCTTCCGAACAAGCATATGCAGGAGTGCTGTACGTCTGTTACCGTGAAAGACCGAAATTGGAGAATGTCGACTTTTACCGGAGAATGTCAACATTCACCAAATACGTCGGTGAAAGATCGAATATTGCATTACATTCGGACCTTCACCGGTGTATGTCGACAATCACAGATATGCTCTGGTAGGTAGGTAGGTGACGGAAGACGGGGACGCCTGGTGGCTACCGGAGATAAACAGACATGTGTCCCTCGCCTTCCACTATCTAATGGCAACAACTCCCTGTGGCCTCAAGAGTCCACACCGGGAACTTATTAAGGGTGCAGAAGTTTACATGGCCAAACAGGGGCGACTTATTAACATTGCTTGACTAATTACATAATTACAGGTATGAGACTTGTGGGACGGATTTACAGGTGAGGGGCTTAGAGCTAAGGTCGAAAAGAGAGGAGTATATGTACACACTGACATTGCAAAAGTCAGTGTTCCACAAATAAATGCAGTTGTAAAAGCAAGGGCCTCTTTTGCATTTCAAAGTGTCATAATAGTTTAAGTTGTTATAATAAATAAGATTTGAATCACGTAATTTAGTAAGTTTTTAACTTCTATTATTTTCCTTTCTCATTTTGAATGCACTGTGTGTTTTAAGTTCTTATATTCTTAAGTTCTTATTTTAAGGCTCAACTGCGTTTTTTCGCTACTGAATTACGGAGAAGAAAATATAATATTCTTATATGTTCAACATTCACCATTAGTACATGGTGAATGTCGACATTTACCGGTGTAAGTCAGAAATAAGAGTATTTGGAAAATATTTCGGACATACACCAAGCGACTATGTGAATGTTGACATTCACCAGATTTCGGTGTTTCACCGTAACACGTCCGTTTTATAGAACACAATGCTATAAAGGTTCGATTAGTATGCAGTCGTAACAAGCTTACTCCTATAAAAAAAAGGATATATTTTTTGGAGAAAGAATGTTTACCAACTGAAATGGAAGCTCCAAAAAATAATTTACAATTACCTACAAAATCGAAAACTGCTCGTTTCCCATTCCTGAAAGACAATTTTTTACGGCTAGGAGGCAGACTTCAGTTTGCACCGGTATCTTCGCATATACAATATCCTCTGTTACTAGATTCGAACAAAGGTTCTCATTCCTTTGTTCGCATTCTGATTCACTATACGCAAATTCGTCTTCTACATCACTTAGGTGTTCGAATAAGTGTTCTTTACGAACTACGCTCTGATTATCGAATCTTGCGAGGTCGTGATGCCATTAACCTTCGTAAT